TAGCCCGTTTTTGCTGCCCTTTGAGGCGAACAGCAGTTCTGGTGGGAGGGATTCCTTTTGGGGAAATGGAAAAGGCAGAAAGGGCTCCCCCCCCCCTTGGCCCATAGCACCAGGGCTCCTATTCAAATCGTAGGTCCAGAGGATTTCAGCCGTGTTAGTCTGTTGCTGCAAAATAGTCAAAAGCCCAGTAGCCCCTTTAAGACCAACAAGCTTGATTGTAGCATAAGCTTTCGATGGTGGGAAAGCGGGGGGGGGGGTCGTGACTTGTGCAACTGATTTGCATTCACATGGCACTTTCTGCAGGCTCTCCCCACTCCCCTGACCACCTATATATCTCTGGCCAGTTTCTTCATACCCTCCGGGCACCTGTCGAAGAGAGCTGTGTTTCTCGAAAGCTTATGCTACAATAAAGTTTATTCGTCTTAAGAAGAAGAAGAGATTGTATTTATACCCCACCCTTCACTACCGAAAGGTGTCTCAGAGCGGCTGACAAACTCCTTTCCCTTCCCCTCCCCACAACAGGCACCCTGTGACGTAGGTGGGGCTGAGAGAGCTCTTGACAGAAACTGCTCTTTTTCAAGAACAGCCCTTATCAGAACTATGCCTTGCCCAAGGTCATCCAGCCAGGTGCAAGTGGAGGAGTGGGGAATCAAACCCGGTTCTCCCAGATTAGAGTCCGCGCACTTCACCACTACACCAAACTGGCTCTCTTAAAGGGGCTACTGGGCTTTTTACAATTATCCAAATCATGACTGCTTTGCCAAGGTAAGAATTCATTTTTGGAGATCAGGTCCCCAATATATAGGGTATATATATAGCACCGGGTTGGAAATACCTGGAGATGTTAAGGGTGGAGCCTAGGGGTTTGGGACCTCAGTGGGATATAATCCCATAGGGTTCACCTTCTAAAGCAACCATTATCTCCAGGGGCACTGATTTCTGTAACGTGGAGACCCATTCAAATTCCGGGAGATCTCTCCAGCCAGCACCTGTAGACTGGCAACCCTACCAATGTAATAGGTAGTTTGGACATGACAAACGCTGTGACTCCTGGACTAGGCTTGCCAATCTCCAGGTGTGGTCTGGAGTTCTCCTGGAATTAAAACCGATCTCCAAGCCACAGCGATTAGAGACCCCTGGGGTGCAGGCAGGGGAAAAGAGGTGCAGGAGCTCATTAGCATAACTCATTAGCTTAACTTATTTGCATATGCCACACCCCCTGACATCACCGGAAGTGTGTCAGAAGGCAACACCCACCGCTCAGGCTCCACTGGACTGTTTTGGATTGCTAGCTATTGGGGGGGGGGATGTGAAGATCTGTCCTCAGAGGAGGGAGCGCTTGAACCTGAATAAAACTTGGTCTTAAAGGTGCCACTGGACTGTTTGGGTGGTGGGGGGGGGGGGCTCTGCAACTTACCTGGCTGCTTCTTGCTCTGACTGAGGGTTGCTGGGAGCAGGGGGTGGGGCTTGTTGCATGTGCCCGCCCCCTGGGCTCTTTACTGCCGGAGCTCCGCTCCTGTGCACTCCTGCAGGAAATGACCCCTGGCTGTAGGGCATCCCACCCCTGTGAGCTCCTCCCCTTCAAGCGCCATCCCAAGATCTCCAGCTCAGAGCTGACAACCCTATCCTGTACCCGTCCCGTATCGGTGACGTCTCTCCTCCCTTTCACCGTCCTCTGTCTTCCAGTTTGCAAAGCTGTCCGCTGGCAAAGAAGAGGAAGCTTCAAGACGCGGAGGCCGAACACCTGGCGTCCAAGAGGAAATCCCACCCCCTGAAACTAGCCCTCGATGAAGGCTACAGCGTGGACAGCGACGGGAGCGAGGAGGCGGAGGCGAAAGAAGAGTCGGGGACGGACGATTCGGAGTGCACCTTGGAAGAGGAAGAGGCCGAGGCGGCAGAGCAGGAGGGAAGCTGTGGCAGCCCTCCGCAGGCAGAAGGTGTTTTATTTCATTCCCGGTAGCAAATATTTATTTTATAGATGGAAACGAGGCAGTGAGCGTTACCCATCTAGAATTGGGGCACCTTTGGATAACATATTGACAGGTCCTCTGGGTTATGTCCAACAGAAGAACGGGAAAGGAGCTTTTCTTTAACAAGACGGACGATCCTGAGCATAACTGGTGGTCAGGAAGAGCCCGGTGCTCTCGTATGGTTGCCAACCTCCAGGTGCTGGCTGGAGATCTCCTGGGATTACAACCGATCTCCAGGTGACAGAGATCAGTTCCCCTGGATAGAATGGCCACTTCGGAAGGGGACTCTATGGTGTTGTATTCCGTTGGATTCTCTCCCCTCTCCAAACCCTGCCCTCCTCAAGCTCCACCCCCAAAGTCTCCACGTATTTCCCAACCTGGAGCTGGCAACCCTACCTATATGCTTGCCACAGTGGGAAAAATAGCTGCTCCCCGGGGTCATTTTCGGTCAGAAAAACAATTCCAGGGGAAAGCATAGCACCCCAAGCTGTGGACATGATCCAAACAGGACCTCACATAAGTGGAGGGGTTTAGCTAGAGAGCTAGAGAGAGATAGCGAGAGAGAGGTGGATGATAGAAGATAGATGATAGATAGATGGATAGATAGATGATAGATGGATAGATGGATGATAGATTGATGGATGATAGATGATAGATACATGACAGGCAGGCAGGAGAGGTGGATGATAGAAGATAGATGATAGCTAGATGGATAGATAGATGATAGATGGTAGAAAAATAGATATATGACAGATGATAGATACATGACAGACAGACAGGCAAACAGGCAGACAGATAGATGATAGATGGATGATAGA